GGAGGGGCTCTGCGGTGGGGTCTGGTGCAGCCCTGACCGACTCTCGCTGGCCGCCTCGCAGCTGGGGACCGGGGCCAGAGTAGAGCTGAGGATTTGGACTCGCATCCTGCCATCAGGTGCTTCCAGTCTCTGGCTAGGCCCGAACCCACCCCCACCACTGGCCCTCCCTTGTGACCGGTTCTTTATAGTTTGAGAAACATGTTCAATTTCAAAACTCCATAAGTCAAATTTCTTTATTTGCTGGACACCTGGCACCTTGCTAGGCACTAAGAAATCAGTGGTTACAATGTGGTCCCTGCTGCGGAGCTGGCATCCTAGTGGGGAGAGACTGCCAGCTAAGAAATAGTTCTATGCATAAAGAAGATAGTTTTAAGGGCTGGGATTTAGCTCAGTGGCTCTGCCACCTGCCTAGCAAGGGCAAGGTCCCGAGTTCGATCCCGGGTACCAAATTTTAGAGAGGAGAAAGTGCTAGAGCTGGGGAAGGGTAGTCTTTGCAGAGAGAACAGCAAGTGCAAAGGCCCTGATTCAGGAGTGGGCTTGGTAAGTAAGTGGAAAAGTGAAATTCAGACTTAATGGAGGGACAGAGCCTGCGGAACTGCAGAGGATTTGGTAGGAATTGGGTTGCAACACTAGTGCTATGGGACGGGAAGCTATTGACAGATTTTAAAGCAGAAGAATGCTGGGTGAATGAATGTGTGAGTGAACTTATTATAGACCCCCCCACACAACAATTGCTATTCCAAGATTGCTTCCTCTCACCTCAGCTCAGGTGGGTGCCCACTGCCATCTGTTTGAGAAGCTGCCTCTCACCCCACCCAGCCTCAGGACCAGATCAGCAACCCCAAGGAAGCCTACTCCACTGACCTTTGCTGGAGGTCAGGGTCAAGGTGTCAGAGTGCCCAGGTGACCTGGGGTAAGTGAGTCCTCCTCGTATACCTCAGTTTCCTCATCTGAGAAGCAAGGCATTGTGCCAAGTCCATGGCCTATACTTTGAGCCAGGCCCTGCATTTTCTCCACATCATCCCACTGATTCCTGGCAGTGTGAGGCAGACTTGTCTAACTTTGTGAAAATGGAAACTGAGGTGCAGAATGGTTCTCATGCTGCAGTGACAGTGCCAAAGCCTACATCTGCAGTCCTTTGTGCTGTGCTCAGTCACCCATCTTTCAGGTCCAAGGTGGAAAGGGAGACAGAAACTAGAGCACAGTGTAGATGAACAGTGTTGTGGGTTTGTTTGCTTGCTTGTTTTGTTTTGTTTTGTTTTGAAGTGGGGGTACCAGAGATTGAACTCAGGTCTTTGTGCTTGTGAGGCAGGCAGTGGAACCACTGAGCTAAGTCCTTGGCTGTTTGTCTTTGAGACAGGGTCTCACTACATAGTTCAGGTTGGCCTTGAACTCACTAAGTAGTTCAAGCTGGCCTCAAACTCATGGTGACCCTCCTGCCTCAGCCTCCTGAGTGCTAGGATTACAGGCGTGCACCACCACTCCCAGCAGAGCTGTGTTGTTTTAAGCACAGATTTTGGGGAAGACAGATCTAGTTTCTAAATCTGGTGTCTTTGTTCCAAACTAGGTGGCTATAGACGAAGCACTTAACATGTTGGTTCTAAATTTCCCCATTGTAGAATGAGGATCTAGCTCCTAGGTGGTTGAGAGGATTAAGTGAAGTAATGCTGTAAGCACTTAGCCCAGATTCTGGCCTGTAGGAAATCCTGCTACAGTTTTGGTAAAATTCTTGATAGATGTATGGGAAAGATCCTTTTCATTCACCCAGGGCCCTCCAGTCCCCCATCCCAGTGTGGTTTCCGGTCCTCCTTGCTTTGCCTTTATCTGCTCCTGGGGAGTACCCAAAAGAAAGCCCGACACAGAATCTCAATGGAGGAAGTCTTCCCTGGGCCCTTCTGGCTCCCTGCATGGGGTTCCAAGGCCAGCTCTGGAAAGCTAGGCACCTGGCTGGAGCCCCAAGTGTAGGATAGCCACTTTCTGACCTGGGAATTAGGTGTCACTGTTTCCTTGTTTCTTTAGAAATAGGATCTTGAACTCCTGGGCTGAAGTGATCCTCCTGGGAGCCTCCCCTGTAGCAGGAACTGCAAGATTTTCTTCTTTCCTTTCTGTCTTTGGTGGTAGTGATGGACAGCAACAATCAAATCCCGGGCCATGCACATGCAAGGCAAGTGCTCTACCATGTTTTTCTGTTTGTGTGTGTGTGTTGGGAATCGAACTTGGGCCCTTGTGCTTGCAAGGCAGGCAGCAGAACCACTGAGCCAAATCCCTGGCCCCTGTTTTTCTGTGTTTTTGATTTGTTGGTATCAAAGATGAGGCTGAGGATATTAGGCCCTGCGCTTAAGCCTGGGGTTAAAAGGATCACACACCAGGCTTCTTTAGGGCCACAGCCCAGTCTGTTCAAAAAGCATATCTTTTCAAGGGATTAGCTTCCAGGAGGTTATGAGGACTTGAAGGAGGTGGCATTTGAGCAAGGTTTCCAAGGATGGCAGGGAAAGGAGCCCTGGCTTGAGAAGAGTGTCTCAAAGAGCAAAATCCTCCTGTGCAGAGGAGGAAAGGACGTGGAGCTAGAGAAGACTGCATGGGGTCAAAATACTAACTGCTGTGTTTCAGTGCCTGCAGAGTGCCAGGTACCTCCCATGTCTGTAGGTTTCCTAGGAAAACTGTAACCAGTCACAAATTTAGCAGCTTCTAACACCACAAATTTGTTTTTGACAATTCTGGAAACCAGAAGTCCACAGTCAGGTTTACTGGTTCAAGTTCTAGCGGTGGCAGGGAAAACTCCTTCTGGAGGCTCTAGTGAAAATCTGGTCCTTGCTTTTCCCAGCTTCTGGGCGCTGCCTGTGTTTCTTGGCTTGTGACCCTTTGGTGACCTCCAGAAGCTAGAAGAGGCAAGAAAACAAATCCTTCTGTTGTTCCAGCTTCTACTTCCTTCTTGATCTTCTCGCCTCATAAGAGCCCTTGTGATTACATTCCAGGCCTCAGGAATAGTCCAGGATAACCTGCCCATCTCCACATCTGTGAGGATCCCTCCACATGCCCGCCATCTCTGGCACCTAAGGGAGCATTCGTTATTTCCAGGGCTTAGGGATTAGGCGTGAGCTAGCTTTGTGAAGCAGCATTCAGTCATCACACAGATCACTGTCTGAATGCTCCTTCATTGCAACTCATTTTACAAATAAGGAAACAGACG